AGTTATTATAGTCATTATTATAGTTATTATCATAGTTATTATCATAGTTATTGTAGTCATTATTATAGTTATCATTATAGTTATTATTATAGTTATTATAGTCATTATTATAGTTATTATCATAGTTATTATCATAGTTATTGTAGTCATTATTATAGTTATCATTATAGTTATTATTATAGTTATTATAGTCATTATTATAGTTATTATCATAGTTATTATCATAGTTATTGTAGTCATTATTATAGTTATCATTATAGTTATTATTATAGTTATTATAGTCATTATTATAGTTATTATCATAGTTATTATCATAGTTATTGTAGTCATTATTATAGTTATCATTATAGTTATTATTATAGTTATTATAGTCATTATTATAGTTATTATAGTTATTATTATAGTTATTATAGTTATTATTATAGTTATTATTGCATTACGTTACTATATTATATTACTAAATTATTCATAGAATCTGTACAATTTTGAATTTACCTCTGATGCGTGCTACCTTTTTGGATATGTTCCGTCGTATGAAAATACCCGAAGAACACCATGAACAATCGCAAGCATTAAATATTCAAAATCAGTTAAATGGACGATGACACATGTATGAATCAATTTGACCCGGAGACATTTTCAAGATCGTTGAACCGAGCGGTTATAAACGAAATCTGAGCGAAAGCATAAAATGGTTACACGTGGTCCTCGGGTGACCGAACCTCTTGGAATTTATATGATAATTATTGCCCTGTTCGTAAAACGGTGTCGATAAGAGAACGCTTTCGTTCTGAAGATCGGTGCTGTGCAGCGGCTTCACTCGACTTCGAGGAAACCATCATCGCTCGGCTATCGGTCATGATAATAAATGGCCATCGATCAAATAAATATTACACGAAGCTTTTCAGATTTTCGACAGCATCGGATGCTCGCGTGCGCGGCCAACGAGCACGTCTCGAAAGATTCCGTCCGATATTAACCTCTTTCGTGTATTTTTAATTTAAGTCTGGACACTAACATTCTTTCAATATGTATATTCAGCGTATTCTTCACTCAAGTCTGGACACCAACATTCCTGATATTTTAACATTTTTTTTTTAACATTTCCATATTTTTAAATTCTAGTCTGGACGCTAACATTCTTTAAATACCTTCGAAAGATGACTTGCCTTATTAACTCTTTGCACTCGAGACTAATACAAAGACAAAACGTAGAAATTGTAATTTCTGTGGTTTTAAGGAAAAACGTCGCATATCATAATGTCAAAATATTTAAGTGGACTGCGGGGCTCTCGAGTCCATTTGGATCTTGTGTATAAATATTGTTATTATTAGACCGCGGATTTTATGCATTTATGACAAAAATGACCAGCTGAAAGTCAGTGCAGTGAAAAAATTTAAACAATTTAAAAATACTATCGTATTACGTTCGATTTATTAAGCTCGTTAAAAAAATAAATAAAGGTCTCGTTAGAAAAAATAAATAAGCTTCTGCATCTGGCATCTAGTTATTATATTAATATCTAGTTTCTGACAATTAATTACGTTAAGGTTTCTCGACAAAATATGTTGAAAAACGTTGATAAGCATACTCAGTTTTATTTTCGCCAAAAAGGTCAGCTGTTCAAGTGTTAATTGGATACACGTATTTATCACAAAAAAAATCATGAAAACAAATTCGATAAGCTCAAGAGATATAGAAAATACAAGGAAACGCTAGTAATGCAACGAACTAGCGATCAGAACTTGAAGCGACAACACGGCGTTCTTCCTTTCAATCACAGGTTTATCCAGCAAAGGTCAGTGTCTATTAACCTCTTGCGTTGGTGTGACGTACTACGACACCTTCAGTCATGAATAAGAAAATCAATGAACAATGACATTCTAGATAGACAAAAGAAATATCTCGTTGCATGATATATTTCGGAACGTGTCAAAGTTCATCGCGCTGAACAAGATTAACCCTTTGACTACGGCCGACTTTGAGACGCGCTGGCCGTACCATACGGCAGAAATTGAGTTACGATGTACGCCGAGAACGGCGAACTTCTAGGTAGGGATGAATTTTTGTGAAAACATATACGAATAATCAAAAAACTGAATTTCACCGCATTAAAAAGCAATATTATTTATTTCTCTGAACCAAAATATTATAAATATTACGAATTTAATAGTAACGTAAAACCTTTTTTTCGTCTAACTGAGATAAGATCTGTCGGAATAAATATCGATAAAATTTTCAGTGCGCCCATAGGCGCCCTCCGTGTCAGAAAACCAGACTGCATCGAGCGCCCATTGTCGCCCTCCGTGTCAGAAAACCGAACTGTATCTCGAGCGCCTATAGGCACCCTCAGTGTCACAAACGCAACATTTCTAAGCGCTTATAGACGCCCATAATAACCTAAGTGCTAATAAAGATCATCAGGTATCTATCTGAATTTTCACTGCACTGCACTCACTTGCACTGATTTTCCAGTGCAAGAGGGGTTAATCAACGCAGCCATGTGAAACAAGATTTCGCTAGGATTCTAATAGGTTCTCACGGCCGGATACCGTGAGTATGCAAACAGCGTTCTCGGTCCTAGGATTAAGAACCATTTATGCTGACCATTACTCTGGCCGAAGGGGCAGCTTCCGCTAGTCCGATCATCGTTTATAAAGATTCTGCGGTATCATCAACGCGCGGGCATTGGTATTTGACGGGGAGGAAGAGGAAGAAGAAGAAGTACAGCTGGACCCGAGTCGCAGGTTTCACGATGGCGTATAGCATAGCTACACTTAATGCAGTTAACCAGCTCTTACGTTGCACGATCACGTTGTGTCGGTGAGCTGCACGGGGTGCATTAGCCGGGTGAATCAACACGTCGTGGGATCGCTGTTTACGTAAACAGCGTTAGCTACCCGCGTTACCTCGAGACTCGGTATCCGCTGAAAACGTTGTGCTCGGGGATCCATTCACCCCGCCGAGTGCAGAGGCTGCTCGTTGTGATGCTGGGCACGGGCATCGGAGCACGTAGTCGTTAGCTCCCGTTACTTTTCGGGGATTACTCCTTTGCACTACGATTTCTTTTCTGGCCGCGTTGATTAGCGTTAATTACTTTTATTCCTAGATTTGTGATAACGGAAGAATCAAATTTTGTTTCGGTCCAGAAGAAATAAATAGTATTCGTATTTGGTAGGTTATGTACGAGATCTTCATCACGTGTCTGACACGTTGTCATAGTGCAGATAGTTAACATTGGGCAATCGATCACTATAAGTCAGGGACGATAACTATTATAAGCAACATAAAAAGAATTCGTTGGATAACAATTATTATTTTGATTCAAACGTTTTTAGTTATAAGTAGACTGCGGATATTTATGCAAGATAAAATGTCTACATGAATTGCAAGAAATCGACATTAAGTGGAAGGTTGTTTTCTGTTTCAATCATTTTAATTGGATGACAATAATGTGTCAATGTTCTTAAAATCTTCTAATGGAGCGAAGAACTTCTAATAATAAAACTTATTTTGGATTCTTGCAAAAAATGACTGGTCTGAATTGCCTGTTTTTAAGTAATAAAACCAAAGTTATCAAAATAATGCACAATATGAAAATATTGCAAAATATGTCTGAATAAATTGATTGTATCGAGTAATTCTCTAGGAAAATATTTATCAATCTGAATTATTGTAAAATAATCTCTACTGTTTCTCTTTGTTAAATTCAAATGATCCATCAACCTGGAATACATAATTAGCTGCAACAATTAGCTTTTTAAGTATTCTATACGGAACAAGTGACAGATTATTAATGTTTTACTATTGGTGGACTCGAGAACCATACTCGACCTTTCACATTACAGGGCTATGTCTAACAAAACGTTTTGATTATTATGTAGACAGTTACGTTCAGTTCCATTCAGTATGGATTTTTCTAGATATTCTTGAACATGTTCCTTGGAGAAGCGTCCAACCCCGTGGCAGATATTATGCACAGATGTAAGCACAGTGTCATCGTTACCATTGTATTGTGTTTGAAAACACCTGACATAGACTTTTTCGCATACTTGCCCGCCTTCTGGTCTGTTCCACGTCGACTTAGGACAACGATTTCTACGTATATTAAATTGTTTGAACGTTACAAATCACAATTCTTTATAGAATAGTGAATTAACTCGTATCATATATATGCTGCTATTCTTGCTAAATCTAATACGTTCATAAAATCACTAAATGAAAAATATCAGAAATAAAATTTAAAAATGTTTCTAAAGAAACTGCACAGAGTGTGTCATAAATCCATAGTGAGTGCTTACAGAATAAAGTTACATATAAGAACTTTTATGGCTTCTAAAGAGGTATTATGACTTTAATTAGATAAAGGTTATGTTTGCTGTTCGCAAAAATAGATGATATTATTCTATAATATTCAAGCACCTTTTAAAACGCACTAACTTTTTTTAAAATTAGACTGAATGATTTGAATCTTTTTTAAATGTTCATCTGACTGGTTTATTGGACGATGTATGAAATAATGTTTGCAAAAATTGTAATTGGTTTTTTATTTTATAAATGATTATTATTATTATTATTATTGTTATTATTATTGTTATTATTATTCTTGTTATTATTATTATTATTACTTTTTAATATTTTTTGTAACTTCAAACAATCATGATTTTTGCAAAATTGTTGTAGACATTGTCTAGTACACCAAGTGAATTTAATACCTAAAAGAGTTCAAGATATTTGGTACTATTTTTAGAAAGATTATTGCGTCCTATAAATGCAATTACAAAATAATTTGTCGGTTTCCAGTTATTGAATATAAATTTTTAAAGATTCACGTCACATGCAAAATTACCGTTCTCGCAAACAAGCAGTGTTCCAAATTGTTTTACTTTTCATCGAATTTGTTCTCGCGACTGTCTTCCCGATAAATATGTGCACCCTATATGTTACAGCTCAATGAATGCGTAAACATAAAGTTGGGATTATGACATTTTCCTTACAGCCACAGATACATGATGCAGATTGTACGAAACTGACCGCTGGAAGATTCGAAATTGACTAAAAACCACGGGCAAAAGAATGAATCCGGACGGCGCCGCAGCATTCGAAGGTGAAACTCATCCAGCAGCAAAAGGAAGGAGCGCTTGTACGAGAATCTTTCGGCGAGATTATGTATGTCGGCGAGCGCATTCCTCCAAAAAGTAAATGAACCGCGTGTATTTGTTAAACAGCCGATCTCGAAGCATGCGCGTGCGTAGAGCAAACGTTTCCTTGATGAAAACGAGATAGGGCCGCGCGCGCACCACGGGCCCCCCTATAAAATTCCACGTGGAACGTGACACGATTCAATTGTAGAGGGAGACGAATGCATTTGTCACAAGAGGACGTCCGTTTTAACGGCCTACCACTTATCAAGATTGGCACAATTCCGTTACTGCACGCTTCGGAGAGTAGTCGGGCCATATTCCGGTCGATGCGTCTTCCACCAAAAGAGTGCAACACGATCTTCTTAACGACGGCCCGAGGGATTATGGTTGCGCGGTCACGCAGATTCGCGATAAACGTAACAATAATTACTCCGGCAATAGATCAAATCTTCAATAATGGCCGCCGGTGGTCCTCGAAGACCGAGAACCCCGAAAAACCAGCCGGTTTGATCATTTACGTAATTCCTATGCGGCTTCATACATATCAATTACACAAACGCAATTATTATAGTGTGTAATATTCAGAGAGAACCGTCGAGAGGAACCTTCTGTACCCTTTGGTGTACTTTGTACCAAAATATGCAAACATGTAATTTGGTTGTGGACGTAACGAAAGATCAGTATTTATTATTCATTTTTTCGATTATTTAAGTGTTTAATATATGGACGGTTGAGAAACCAATCGGTCCATTTTTAAGACATAAGCCCACTTTTCTTTAAAAAGGGACAAGCAAGGGGCTAACTTGCAAATGTATGCGCACGAATATCGCTGCGCAAAAAAACAAAATAATCGCTTTGGCTAGTTCTCCTGCCTTCAGGATAGAGTAGGTATTACTACGGTCTCTCAATGAAGGCGAAGTTTGGCAGAAAAAATAAGACCTTTCACGCCAATAAATTGATAATTTGAGATATATCTATTATTCTTTATCAACCTTTATCTATTCTTAAAAACGAATTTTGATCAAATAAACACAGATTTTAAAAAATTCTCAAATTTAAGAAGAACAACATTTTTTTGTAAAAACCCTTAGTTAGTTTGTTGTATTGTTAATTGTTATTGAAGGCTCTAGTAAGCAGATATTTTTTTTAGTTCATCAAGTAGAGTAAGTGTAGGTATTACTGCGGTTTCTCAATGAAAGTGAAGTGAAGGTTAATAGAAAAAATAAGACCTTTCAAGCCCCCCGATAAATTGACAACTTGACCTGTATCTATTATTCTTTAACTCGAATATTTACTTTTCTCAAAGTATTGGATCTCTGAAAGTACAAATTTCATTCAAAAGCGTAATGTAAAGAAATTGTACGTGTGCATATATTACCGCGGTTATGTATCTATTACTGCGAGCCAAATACTGTGAACGTTCCGATTACTGCGTGTTAAGGTTGACATAACCCATTTTCTTTTACATGTACACACACAGCTACAATTCCTAGGATCAAAGTATTCTCACTGTAACACTTTACAAATTAGATATAGGTACTCTACGATCAAGCGTGTTCGCACCGGCTCATCCAAAACTGCGCTGTATAGGTCAAGGTACGCAGTTCGGTAAACCACCGCAGTAATGTACACACATTGTAAAAAGCTATGCGCCAAATACTGTGTTATGAAATAATATCTGAGGATAGATGATGGCGACAGTGTACGTCGATTTTTTATCAAAGTAATGATTACTTTATCTAAAAGTAACGCTAAAATCAATAGCTTATTATTAATTACCAAAATATAAATGCCTTTCGAATCAGCGTTCACAGCTGACATTACGAGTATTTCATAAGACTCAACGTTTTCATAAGTTTCCGAATATCAAAAGTCAATAAATGAATTAAAACTGTGATTGCTATTACTTGTATGTCATAAATTATCAATATTATACATGTAAAAAATTATAAGATTCATATTTAGAAGATTACACACTATGAAATGTTAGATTTTATTACTTTTATAAAATACCGCAGCATTTGGTATTACCTACACTTACCCTATATTATACACAAGTACATATACATTACAAGTTCTGTAAGTTTGTACGAGTTATTATTTGTCTGAACCAATTTATACAAATTCTATCGATCGCACTGTTACGTAGTTTGTTTCAACAAGTTCTGAAATTATTCGAAAATGTCTGGAATTTACGAACATGTTTCGCACAAAGTTTCATCGAAATAATAGAACGAGCGTACTGGTCGCAATTTATAAAATTGCCACTTCTCCGAGAAATGTAAGATAAAAGTACAATCTATTACGAAACATCGTCTCAATTGTGAGACCTCTTCTTGAAATAATAGTACAAATAATAGGATAAAAAATGGATAGAACATATAGAAGCGAACGTAAAAATTCGACCCATATTTTTGAACGTTGTTCTTTGCAAATTCACTCACACAAACACTGTTATGTAACAATCAGCTGTAAAAAGAAAATGATTACTCGAATCATTGTCGTTATTGATTTGTACCAGTTTGTGGAACACGCGCGTGGTTTTCTTAATCGTATTTTTCGCGGCGAAAATAAAACAGCCCGTTCCAAATTAGGGACATCGAACAAGAAACACGGGGACATGTTGAGAAAAACATCGTTCCATGAGATAAGTACATGCTCGTACTTTACCATTTTGCTCATATTATCTTTTATTCATATAGAATAAATGTTTCAAAGTACAATTGTAAAAAGATCGATGATAATCGTTCTGAAAATCGTCCTGAAAAGCGTTCCATAATAGGAACTTTCGCCGGTGTCGCGCCAAACGTTACTCCACGCCATAATTCTCGCACATAATCAGTTCCCATAATTTTTTACGCTAACCCTATCAGGCGAAGAATTCTACGTTCCACTGTTGTGTTCCATCTGGCATCGAACAATGTGCCTTCCTGGAGACCATAAATTAGGTTCTCAGCGTTGGATTCCACCTACGACGACGGTCCCCGCGCGCGCTCTTACCCGCGGAAATTGCAAGAGTGCCTCTCTATACAAGATTTACAATTCCCCGCAGATAAGATCCGCGAGTTCTTTGTTTCGACGGACCGCCCCTGTTCGGCGTGAAACACTCGTGCACCGGCGGCGTGCCGTGGCGGCAAGCAATGCGGTTCCGAGGCGCGTCTGCCGGCCTCCGTTCGAATAAAAAGCCAACAGAAAAAGTGGAAGCGTCCGATTTATCACCACCGGTCACTCTGCTCGCCCACGGAATCGAGCGGATCGTGATATTGCTCTTCGGCACCCATGCACACCATATTCGCGGCACGATCTTCTCTCGCCGCTGCATCGGCCGTTCGTGTCTCCAGAATCGCTGATCTCTTTCGCTTTACGCATATTTCTCGCCGATCGAGCGGATGGCGCAGAATTATCCCTGGCAACTTCGAAAACAGTTATTGCCGTTATTAATAGTTAGTTGAAAGTTTTTCACTTTGCTTGAACGTATAAATCGAGAGATTTTGTCTCATCCTAATAACAGAGTTTAGGCATTATCCTCTCGAGTCTAGCTAAACTATGTTTGAATAATGACTGTGCCTTATACTTATAGAACTTATAATACTTGTTTTCCAGAATGCCAAAGTACTCGGTACTAATTTCGCAGCACAGCCGGCTAAGCAACGATCAGAAACGGAGTTTCGAATGAGAGTTACTATTATGGTATAATCCTCGCAGTGCTAGGTTAAATTCTTGAATAAATAGCGGGGAGCATAATCGCTGCTATTGGTATGAAAAATCCTTGAAAAACGATTATTGCTTATACTGGCACGTTTCATGTATAATCTTAAAACATATGCGACCGAAATTCTTTTCTCGTTGTCCATATTCATTATTGATGATTGAAATTTATATTTAATGTTTTGATTATATATAATATAACAATTATATGTAATATAATATAGTATAATATTTTTTATATAATATTTATGTAATATTATACACAATATATTATAATTTTCCCTTGTCATTATTATTATAAGTGACCGAAATAGAATATCCATCGTGAATAACGTTTATTGGCAAACGAAAAATAAATGATCGATATAGATCACAAAATTGTATTAATAGCATGATTGATCATAGTAATTCCGTATATTACATATACACATTTTTTTTTGTATATCCACAAAAACAGATATAATTGAACAATCCCTGGGATAGTTTTTTTAATAATCTTTTAATGACCTTAATAAAGGATAATATTTTCTTTCGTATAATAATTCTTTTTCGTATAATTCTCTCAAATTTTCCTTCAGCTTGTAAACAAAAATTGACGATTTGGGAAGAGGGGATACGAATACTCAAGCCTCGCAGCTCATTTTTATAGTTGCCGATTGTCAACGACTACAAAAATGGGGCGCAAGGCTCGAATAATCGTATCCCTTATTCCCAAATTGTTAATTTTTGTTTACAAGCTGAAGGAAAAATAGGGAGAATTTACTATATTACCTCCTCTTGTACTAAACGTTTAGAGATTTCCGCGACATTAACACGAGATTTACGGAACACAAAAAACAGCTGTTCTATATCTTAGTTCACAAAAGACATTTATCTATTTTGTAACATTTGCCGTAAGTAACATATAAATTGAATAAATAACTCATAAATGTATCTTCACGATGTGAATAATCGTGAGCATGTCGCTCACGACGTTTCGCGTATTTGTTTGCTGGCTGACGATCGACCAAAGAAATGAAAACGCATTACCGCGACTAGACTTTAAGTCCGTTGCCCATTTAGTCGAACCGTTCGTTCTTCGCTCCGTTGTATTTGTCTTTCCATTCCATCAGCGTTATTCTCTGTATCCGTCAATCTACTTGTATCCGTGCATCCTGCTCGGATGTATCGACTTTGACTAAGCGGCTTTTGTGCAACTCGTCGGCACAGGAATTGCAAATAATGGCAGGAAGCAGACGAGAGCCTGGGCCCGATGTTCTTGCGGTTCCAACTATCCGTCTATTCATCTGGAGAGGGCGGTGAACAATGTTACGGAAGACGGATAACAAGAATCGCCGAAGGGACAGGTCTCGCCAGTTCGCCGGGTAACGAGATCCGACGATGATGCGAAGCTTAATGTTCTTTAAAAGCTCGCTCAGTCGAGACACCAGCGATTTATCTCTCGACATTTATCATTGACCAACAGTCGTCGAACTAATTCTTCAAGAGTTAAACTAGGGTAGTGGATCAGATTACCGTGGTGTGATCAATTACTGTGCCTTTGGTTTGGTTTCCGGCATAATTAACTTTATATTTATTGAACGAAACATATTGAATTTTTTTTATTCAAAGATAAACAAAATAAGATAATAACAAAATTTAATATATATTATATAAATATAAAGATAAGATAAAGTTAATTATATATATAAACGAAATAAGATAATAACAAAATTTAATACATATTATATAAATATAAAGATCAGATAAAGTTAATTATATATACAAACGAAATAAGATAATAACAAAATTTAATACATATTATATAAATATAAAGATCAGATAAAGTTAATTATATATACAAACGAAATAAGATAATAACAAAATTTAATACATATTATATAAATATAAAGATCAGATAAAGTTAATTATATATACAAACGAAATAAGATAATAACAAAATTTAATACATATTATATAAATATAAAGATAATATAGAGTTAATTATATCGATAAATATAAAGTTAATTATATTGGAAAGCAAACCAAAGGCACAGTAATTGGTCAATCCATAATAACCTAATCTACTATTCTATGTATGTAAGGATAAAAAGAACTTGTACTATTTTATGATAACTTTCAATTTATTTTTAATCTTTCGTTTAGGCTAAGTGCACGAGTGGCTACACGTTAAACAATTTTGTTACGTACTTTCAAATTTATGTTTTGCTAACACTTTAACGAGCGCACGAAGTCCAGTTCCGCTCGTTAGCTCGGCCGCTTC